CCCCAAAACCCCAAAACCCCATAAGATGAAACTTCAACTAAATTTGTGAAATAATCAAAGAGAGTCAGTCTTTCCTGTCTTCTTATTATCTTCTTACTTATTAAAAATTAAAGTAAAATTGAATGATTCGACACAATTTATCAATTTTAAATAAGCTCCAAAACATGGTACCCAATCATTTCCTGCGCAATACATTTTTTCTAGATTGATATCTTAAAATCCTTCAGCTTAATAAATAGGATTGAAAGGGTATTTTCCAGTACTTGAAAATTTGAAATTGCTTGTAAGACCTCCATTTTGTTTGAGATTATGTTTATACTCGTCTGAATCCCATTTAAACAAGCTATTTACTGCAAGATAGGAGAATTAATCATCATTTAATAAAGATTACTAGATTTATTTGTGAATTTATCTCGCGAATCCCCAGAATAAAGTGTGTTCATCCATAGAGACATTAAGTTAAATATTTCCTACAAGCATGCCTATATTTTTAAATCCAAGTTTTTTATGAATCTATCTCTTAAGTTAACATCAATATCAAATTTTAAATCTATTTTTTATTCTCCAAGCATTTTAGAGAGGCAGAAGTAAAGTCAGGAAACTAGAACTGATCCAATTGTTATCTATTCATACTTTAGAGCTATCTCTAAATTAAGGAATGTTTCTGAGTTATGTCTCTGAATATGATATTCATTTAAATCTGGTTTAATTACGAATGGTAGGGAAGGCTTCCAACTATTTCTAACTTTTGACGAATTTATTAAAATTTCATGTATTCTCGATTCTTGTTCATGGTTCAATCCATTAGGAAATGCAAGGTCTAAAGAATTGGCTGGATTACTTCAATCTTTTTAATATCATCATATTATTATTGTCTAATGAGATTGTAAATGTTTAATAGTCCATTTATAAGTATCATACCGCTCACTCCATCAGCAAAGCAATGAGGGCATCCAAGCATTACTATACTTTTATTTTAGGTTTATATTAAATTCACAGTTAG